GTCATGTTTCATTTCTTGAAAATTAAAAACTGTCATAAAAGCAATTTAACAAAAAAATAACGTTGATAGTTGTCACAAATGTAATTACCTCTGTGTGTATAAAGAAATGTGGCAAACGCCACAATGAGACCGAACGTGACTACCCCTAGGAGTATGTATAGTATGTTTAGTGCAACGGCCGCAACGCTGTCATTTGATTCTGAAGATAGTTAAATATCAAATGAAAAAAAAAGAAGTACAACACTTCTATCTAAAACTTGCTGGGTATTTTCCAGAGAGATAAAAGGACAACATGAAGGGAAAGCGATAGAAAGATTTTCATGGGAGAAAAAATTATGTTTGCATGAGAGCGAGACATCAAGAAAGAGAGAAACACACAATGAGAGAAGAGAGAAGAGAGAGAGATAGAGAGTAAGAGAAAGAGAGAGAAACACACACAATGAGAGAAAAGAAGGAAAGAGAGAAAGAGAGATTCTCACCTGTAGCCATCGGACACGAAAAACACAGTGTGAAAAGTTATTTAAATATGGCGTATAAAACTGCAAATCAATTTTCATGTCAATAGCCAACAAAGCACCAACAAAGATTTAAATAAGACACAATAAAGTTCACAAACATTGCGAGTGTGTAATGGAACAGAAAATGATAAACACAACGTTAGATGATAAAGAAGTCAAATTCTCATTTCTATTTAAAGCACAATTAGTCATCATAATGAACTGTGTAGATTCAAGTGGCGTTGTGACGGGAACAAAGACGTGCTTTATTTCCTTGTTTAAACATCTTGTCACAAACACGTTATGTATTCTGTTAAGTTTTATATGTGTTTTAATAATGTATTTAACTTGTTTTTAGTTTGATATGTTTTGGTATGGTTGAATTTGTTTGGGTAGCTTTGGTATGCTTGACTCTTACTGATTTGATGTGTTTGGTATTGGTGGGGCTACTCTTGTGTGGTTCTTTTGGTGGGTCACTATGGTGTGGTTATTTGGTGGGTGTCATTCTGCGGTGGTTGTTTTGATGGATGGAATTATGGTGTAGTTGTTTTGGTGGGTGTCACTCTGTTGTGGTTGTTTTGGTGGCTGTCACTCCGGTGTAGTTGTTTTGGTGGCTGTCACTCTGGTGTGGTTGTTCTGGGGGATGTCACTATGGTGTGGTTGTTTTGGTGGGTGTCATTCTGGTGTAGTTGTTTTCGTGGCTGTCACTCTGGTGTGGTTGTTTTGGTGGCTGTCACTCTGGTGTAATTGTTTTGGTGGCTGTAACTCTGGTGTAGTTGTTTTAGTGGCTGTCACTCTGGTGTAATTGTTTTGGTGGCTGTAACTCTGATGTGGTTGTTTTGGTGGGTGTCATTCTGGTGTAATTGTTTTGATGGCTGTAACTCTGGTGTAGTTGTTTTAGTGGCTGTCACTCTGGTGTAATTGTTTTGGTGGCTGTAACTCTGATGTGGTTGTTTTGGTGGGTGTCATTCTGGTGTAGTTGTTTTCGTGGCTGTAACTCTGGTGTGGTTGTTTTAGTGGCTGTCACTCTGGTGTAATTGTTTTGGTGGCTGTAACTCTGGTGTAGTTGTTTTAGTGGCTGTCACTCTGGTGTAATTGTTTTCGTGGCTGTCACTCTGGTGTGGTTGTTTTGGTGGCTGTCACTCTGGTGTAGTTGTTTTGTTGGCTGTAACTCTGGTGTGGTCGATTGGTGGGTGTCACTCTGGTGTAATTGTTTTGGTGGGTGTCATTCTGGTGTAGTTGTTTTGGTGGGTGTCACTCTGGTGTAGTTGTTTTGGTGGGTGTCACTCTGGTGTAATTGTTTTGGTTGCTGTCAATCTGGTGTAGTTGTTTTAGTGGCTGTCACTCTGGTGTAATTGTTTTGGTGGGTGTCACTCTGATGTAATTGTTTTGGTTGCTGTCAATCTGGTGTAGTTGTTTTAGTGGCTGTCACTCTGGTGTAATTGTTTTGGTGGGTGTCACTCTGGTGTGGTATTTTTGGTGGGTGTCACTTTGGTATGGTTGTTTTGGTGGCTGTAACTCTGGTGTAGTTGTTTTGGTGGCTGTAACTCTGGTGTAGTTGTTTTGTTGGCTGTCACTTTGGTATGGTTGTTTTGGTGGGTGTCACTCTGGTGTAATTGTTTTGGTGGGTGTCACTTTGGTATGGTTGTTTTGGTGGGTGTCACTTTGGTGTAATTGTTTTGGTGGGTGTCACTTTGGTATGGTTGTTTTGGTGGGTGTCACTTTGGTGTAATTGTTTTGGTGGGTGTCACTCTGGTGTAATTGTTTTGGTTGGGCTTCGCTCTGGTGTAATTGTTTTGGTGGCTGTCACTCTGGTGTAGTGGTTTTGATGGCTGTCACTCTGGTGTAATTGTTTCGGTGGCTGTCACTCTGGTGTAATGTGGAGAGTCACTATGTTGTGATTGTTTTGATGGGTGTCACTCTGGTTGTGGTTGTTTTGGTGAGTGTTACTCTTGTGTGATTATTTTGCTGAGTTTCACTCTTATGCTGTTGTTTCGGTGATTGTTACTCTAGTGTGGTTGTTCTGGTATGGGTCACCCAGTTCATTAGTTCATAAGAGTTACGCACCAGTGTTCGGCCGTGCGCAGGTATGTAATGAGCTGTTAGTGAACGCCTTGATAAGAGATGTGTCTTTTCTTAAAAAAAGGATATGGAACTCAGTGTCCATTTTACCTGCATGCTCCTGGAGTTGTTTTTTTTAGCAAATATGATTTCCCTTTAGAGCAGCGGTTTTCAATTTGTCGGTGTCAAACGACCCTTACACAGGGATCGCCTAGGACCATCGGAATAGAAATAGTTACTAAGTAGCAATGGTACCACAATGGTTCCACAACATAACTGTATTAAAAGTTGAAGGCATTAAGAATGTTGAGAACCGTTGCGTTAGAGTAAGTACCACCGAAGAAGACACCTCTGATAGTATATTTACAATATATGGCATACTTCAAGTAATTTTAATTATTGGTACATTGTCTTCAAATCAAAAATATTAATATTGTTATTACTAATGAGGTTTTACATAGCGCAGTATCCCAACCTAGAGCTAGGCTCACGGTGCTTTACATAAAAATTAGCCATTGCAGAAAAATATACATTGGAAAGCAATAATTATTAAAATGCTGGACATCACCCATCCAAGTACCATCTACCTGTCCAGCCATGGATATACGTGAGAATGATGATTATGGAGAAACATGTTGCCAGATAGAAAGTAACCAAGATTCCTAGCAGAGGATGTGAAATCGATATCGAGCTACCTATTTAAAACGAGGTTGGTAGAGCTGAGTTAGAGGATGATTTATCATTCTGAATGAGGAGTGCATCCGTTTTGAAATCGTTCAGCTTCAACTTGCTGAGAGTAATCCATGTCTTGACATCGCCAATGCACTCCTTCACGGTGAGGATAGCGGAGTTAACAAGAGAGGGATGGGTATGCTTGTATAGCTGCATGTCATCTGCGAATGAATGCTCTCAACAGCATGTCTCCTGAGCAGGAGTGCAACGGGCCTGGTATATATTGTGATTAGGACGGGACAAAAAACGGATGGAGACCTCATTGCTGTTCAATGTAAGCAACATATCACTGCTGACTCTCAAAAGAGCTGTCTCTGTTCGGTGAAAAGTTCTATAAGTCGACCGATTATGACTGAGAAGAGAGTAGGCATTCAAGTAAGGACAAAGCTTACTGACAACTGTTTTTTTCGATGACTTATGGTCAAAACCATAAATTATATAAAGGTCTATAGTTTTTTAAAATTATTTTCATCAAAACCAAGCTTCTTACTTAATGGTTTGATGACAGCTGCCTAACAAAGAGAGGAAACGATGCCAGAAGGCAACCTCCCTTTGACTATGTGGGTTATCGTTTGAAGCAATTGATCCAACGACTCAACCAACCGTGGAGTGGGAATGGGGTCGAGAGAACATGACGTAGGTTTAGATTATTTGTTTGCATACAAAACTATTTCGCAAAATAATTTAGTTACACGTTTCCTCACTCATATTTCTCTAAATGAAATCAAATTAGCGCCATTAGAAACTGTCAATCATCGGCAAGTTTCGTCAAATCAACCAGAATAACTTTGTATGTTGTCATTGTTTTAACACTAAAGACCACTTAGATAAAAAAAAAGAGAATAAAACAACTAAACTAAAGTTTGGGTTGGCAGTGTACGAAAGCATGTTTAAATTACTGCACATATAATTTGGTAAAACCCCATACCAACGTCGTAGTTTCTATTTATCGTACCGAGACAAGATTTATTAACCTGTTCCATGGTCCATTTGATCTTTTGATCCCATTTCCCAAAAAGAAAAGAAAACAACAAAAACAGAATTTCAATGACCCCCTAAAACCTTTTAGGGATCTGATTAGGGTTCTTTTGGAACACATACTACGCTCTCAGGACCTACATTTACATGGAAATCTATAAAGCATTGTTCTAGATCGAATGAAGTAAAAAAAATATTTAACTATTGATTGCATTACTATAACATTACTTGGTGCTACCATATCAAAGATTGCCTGAGATCGGAACGAAGCTGCAGCTAAATATTATTCGTCTGGATCGGAACTAAGCGAGGCAAAAAAAAAAACCTCCTCCACTTCAATGCTACAAAGGCATACCAGTGTCTCTTCAAGCTTTTAACTGGAAGTTGTCAAAAACTAGTAATGTCAAGGATGTATTGCTTTCTTTCTTTAAAAAAAAACACAAGAACTTGCTTATACGTGTCGACCACGGTATTTGGAAAAGAATAACAAAACATGACATTAAAAAAATTGTGTTTAATAAATATTTAAGCCGTGAAATTAGATATATTTTATAAGGCGCTAAGCATTTAACATTTGTAACCGATACATAATGGTAAATTTCGTTATAAGTTTTATAATATAAAACGTAATCAAATGCCATTAGAAAAATTTCAAAAATGAAAAGCTTATGAAATATAGCTATTTAACACTGTTTGCATTAATATATATTATTAATACAATGTTTCATTTTCTTTCATGATTTAAATATTTATTATATAAATACTGATGTTGATATTTTCATATTAATGATTATTGTTCCCATCAGGAAATGTAATACTCTTCTTTTGTAAATGTATACGAACATTTTCAATGCTAACTTCATAACACTCGCATTTATATTGTTCTTTTTTAAAAAAGAAAACTACTTTAAATAAAAATCTAAATCTGATGTGCAATAAAATCACGCCACAAAAAAAAATTGGCTGCCATTTGTTAGATTATCATGATATCAATCATTTGTTTGTATAACGATAATAGAATCAGAGAAAACAACATACTGACTTATTCGAAGCATAACACTCAAACATGCACATTCTTTTCATTGCATCTAGACATACTTTGCACAAGTTAAAATTTGACATCAGGTACGGAAATATCCAATTACATTGCATGGCAAAAAATAAAATCTCAAATATCTTTATTTAAATATAGTCTTAACTTTTAATATAAAAGCATGTCAAGTCATTAAAAGCATGATCCATGGATGATTTAAATCATATAAGATCATTCAAAGCATTTTATTGACATAAGCTTAAGTCATGATCCCACATAACAAAAATTGAATACTATTTAATAAGCATTTATTCATTACAAAGCTAAATTCTCTTAGCTATAGGCAATTGGCGAAATAATTTGCAAAAATTTTTGAACAATTTATGCACAAGTGTTACGAGAAAAAAAAATCCATTTTATTGCTTGATTTTACAGAATGGTTTTAAATATCTTTATTTAACTTAAAAGGAAATGTAGACTTGTAGTTCTACATTGTTACATTGATATTTGAGTTTCCACAAGTTGAAAACAAAACAAGAAAACCCCTTTTTTTCTAAAAAAAGAAATTAATTAAATAAACCAATAGGAATTTAATAAATTTATTCTAATAAAAACAACATATCGCTCTTTAAAATGTTACCCTTTAGTTCAGCCTTTAACTATCGTGAGACCATTATGGAGTCTCAGTTTATGGCCTGTTAAATTTTATTTGAAATACTAGACGAAGGTGTGTTGAAGCTTGAATTGATAGACTGGACACAACCATATTAATGTTTCGGCTTAGAGCCTCCAGCGAATGAAAATACAACAACTGCCGAACTGTCTATTAATGCAAGCTTCAACATAACTTGTCCTACTATTTCATTTGCACAGCTTGAATGCAGTCCTTCAATTATTATAAATCATAACTCTCGTCAATTCATTGTTCTCACAAAGGTGGGAGAACTCTATTTCGAAAGATCAGTTTACATTAAGTCTACGAAAAAACTGTGTTATGCCAATATGGGTAACTAGCAATAGTCCCAATGGTCAGATATATTAACGTAAATGTTCGAAATTCTTTGAAATGATGTAACTAATTTAACACCAAAATTTAACTAAGAAGATCTTATAGGTACACTTTATTTAAGGGTATACGATATTTAACGTTGTGGTTCATCTGAATAGTCGAACAAAACTGCGTAAATTTTACAAATTAACTACCATCTATAGCCACTGTCGCCATTTTTGACATTACCATTTGCCTCCAACTATGTAATCGGCTACTTTATTTTTGCCAAATGCGAAGATTTAAATTTCAAAATGAAGATGTCATTAATTTGTTTTATATTTAGAAACAAGTATGCATTATATACACCCGATACATCTCACTCTTTGGGTGAGCCTAAGATCTATAAACACTTCTATTGCTGCCCACAGATACTACTTACCAGCTAAGTGCTATTTCTTATTTTTATAACGTTTTTTCTGTTGTTTTGTTCGCTGACGAAGGCTTTCTGCCGACAAGTTCGCTGTTTTGTTACGTTTAATTTTTCAGGTTTAACCATACTCTGTTTTACTCATTTTATTTTAGATCTATAAACATTAGCTTATAAACGCTTATTTTCTCATCGACCTATTTATGTAAAGCAGAGATTTGTTTCAATTTTATTATTATTATTATTTTTTTTTAATTTTAACATTAATTATAGTGTAGATAATGGTGATTTTTGTGTGTGGAGATATTTCAGTACAAAAAAGCACATACATAAATGAAATTATTACGTTTTATCGTGTTACTTCAAGTAAACGTTGATATAATACAGCAAATAAAATGTATAAGAGTGAAGTAACTTATATTTGAATACCATTGTGACAAAAGTACTTCAGTTATATTTATTGAAAAATCCATCTCAACTGTGGCATTTTCTCATCCTGTTTAGCCAAGTGCACCGCATAAACAAGCTTAGTTAAAACAGCCAACAAAATAGAGTCATCTCATTTTATAGACACATAGAATAGTAGAACAAGATTATCTCAAATTGGGGTATTTTGTGACTTTTTGGTTCAAATGTCCCCATTTAAGTGTTAAGCATATAAATAGTACATTTTGGTCTGCAGTGTATGCATAATTTTTAAAAAATCTTACAGAAGTTAAGACAACTTATGAAAACAAAAAATACACCATTTTTTAATCATTTCAATGCATCACACTTTCATTGTCAAGTATTGTTTGGAAACAAGTAAAATATGGTTGACAGCTAAGTGTGCTTGGGGATTTCCCAACACTTTGAGGAAAATGTCACATTATTTTAGGCTAAGAACGTCAACATAATTTTTTGATTTACGTGATTGTAATTATTTACAACAGGGTAATCTTATTATTTTCATTTGCTACAGTAAACGTATGTATCAGAGCAATTTAAAAAAAAAGACATTTAAAGCTTACAAAATGTTATTAGTAGTAAGAGCAGCAAATTAGAACAACAAAAAAATTGTACTATCTTCCCTATTTCATGGTCTTATTAAATTTGTGCGATGGTTTTGTAAATTGAGTAATTTGATTTTAAAAATGTCAAATTACGTTTCGTCTATTGTCATGTGTTCACGTTTTAAACTTCTTTGCCAATAATTTTTTTGTGTGCATTTAAATTATTTTTAAGGAGTGATTCAGATCTTCCTACCGAATGTAAAAAACAATTCGTAAGGAAAACACATTTTCAAAAATGTATTTCACGTCCATTTCATGTTAATTTTTACCTTTTGTTTTTAAACAAATAAAACCTCCATTGTATGCTTATCGTGTTTTAAATTGTTGATTCTATGTTTTCTTTTCTACTATGTCATGTTGATCATATCAACCTTTAAGTTATAACAAATAATCATTTCATTTTGTCTTAACAGTTCTAAACTACAATATAACCTTTAAGTTTGTTATTTAGAACATCAATTAATTTATAATATTTGCAAACATTTTAAGGAGGTTTTAATCATGAGTTCAATCAGGTTAGCGGCTGTGGTACAGATTTTGCTGCTCCTCGTACGTCCTGTTGGCCTCGTTCTGCGTCTCCTCACACGTCGCGTCCGGTTTGGCCGCCGCGTTCCCATAGTCCAGGCTGACGAACTCCACGGTCTCGCGGATCTCTTCGTGGATGACCCGCTCTGTCTTCTTTATGACCTGGGTGTTGCCAGTAGTGACGTAGACCACACCGTCGTTGTCGGTGAATTGGTTGTTGTTCTAAGGAAAGGAAAAAAAAACAAATAAAAAAGCTACTCTGGGATACTTTGAAGTAATTATGCTGAGGGGGGGGGGACAACTAAACATTATTTGAGTTTAGCCTACCCCCATTTTGAGGAAACTGCTATAGCTAGCATTCAAAACAGTGGTTTAATTAAATTTGTTAAAAAGTGTTTCATTTAATTCCAAAGAAGACGTTCGTGGAAACAAAGTTACAGTCTTTATATATACACCGCATAGTTGAGTATTTAACAAATCGCTCATGTAATCACATTTAACAATAAGGAAAAAAAATGACATGTCTGTAGGAAAATCACCAAATAATAGAATGAAACAGAGTGAGAAAAACTATGCATCTCATTTTCCTAATGTCAAGCTTAACACATTCAACTTGGCCATGTTTCGTCTAGCTGTCTTTAAAGTAAATCCACGATCAACATTTCTTGAATACAATGTGCATAATACAGTGGCTTGAAATTTAAAATCACTTGGCTATCAGAAAAATTAAAGTAATAAGTGGAGCTTCCTAATTTCATATGTGCTATTACCGATATTAAATATGTGAATGCAACTGTTTTGAGTGTTCAGACCAATCTAACTAATGCATTAAATTTTGTTGTTCGTCCTTCTCATGCGAAGAAGAGAAAGGTTTTACCACCATGTGAGTACGCAGGTGGCTAGCCAGTCCCTTTTGTCCATGGAAATCTTTTCCGAAGGTGGGACACTTGTTGTTTTGGGTCCTAATAGGATCTGAGTTGATTCCCGGCCGTGTGCTTTTCTTAGGTGTGAGCAGCGTGGTTGATTTGTTTTTAGGTGTGTACTCAAACAATGCTTCTGCCACGCTATCTTAAGCAATCCACGAATTAAGGTCAATGTGCATAGATTTGAATGATTAGTTAGTCCTTTAAGCAGTTTTTTTTTTATTTCTTCCCAACAGCTGAGTGTTTACCACTGGAGAGTTTACCGAACATAAGTTCTTTATTAAGTCTGGTGGCCTGCATTCTCGTCCCTCTGGCTTGTCTTTTCCATGATGTTTTTGCCAGACAAGCTTTGTTGTGTTTGAGGCACTTCTTTTATGTTTCTCAGCCATTTAGGAAATAAAAACTGTCACAAAAACGGTATGTAAGAATTTTAGAGGATATAGCCAAGCCATGCGCTTTATTTTGATTAAATTTAGGGAGAGTATCGCAACTGGTCAGTCACACTCTCCTTTTCCATGCCTATTTTAATCCAGGGGCGAGATGTAGTCAAGACGAATAAAAACACAGACCAGAATGCAATAGATGACCAGCAGTGTTTTTGTGTGTGTCACTGTGCTCCTTACGGGTTTCACGTCAAGTTTGCTGTATTTGCTTCGTCACTCTTTTTTCAACTTACATAACAGTCATTTCATTTTTAAATATACTATCCCAGTTGAACGCTGACGCTTTATGTCCCTAGTCAACCTATTGAGCTAAACCCCATCTGCTTTGAGTGTTTTGTGGGCGGCAGCGTGGTAGGCTGTGGTTTCCTTGTCTCTTCTGGAAGTTTCAAATGTCCTCCCAATTATTGATACCAGTTTAGCTTGGTGGAATAAATCTAATCCATGTGTTTCTGATTTAATTAATTTTTTTCGGCGCCTCACACTCTCTTGATTTTCATAAGTTCCTACAACACGTATTGACTTCATGCAACCCAAAAATGTGAAGCTGATAAAAATAAACGACTTGTTACAGGTCTTCTAGCACCCATTTTTCCCTGCCTCCCGCACTCCTGAGTTGTTTAGTCCCATACTTTAATAAGTACTGATAATGTGTTAGTTAGATCATTACAAATTTTAAATACTCATTGAAGATTAGTTATACATTGTTACTTACAGTTGTAGTAGTTACTTGGTAAACATCTTGCGTATGATTAACTTGTGGCTGAGAAGTTCCATCGAGGCTGTAGGGCAATGTGACAACCGTTCCATCGGCGTTGTATGGCAGGGTACTGAGTTTTTCATCATGGTTATATGGAAGGTTGACCTGTCCGCTGTCGGTGCTGTACTTCAGAGTGGTCATTGTACCGTCGGGGTTGTAGGTCAAATTGGACAGCGTTCCATCGGTGCCATATTTCAAAGTGGACAGAGTCGCATCAGGATTGTAGGTCATATTCGTCAGCATGACATCAGGGATGTAAGCCATATTGGTGAATGTCCCACTCATGTGCAAGTCCTCTCCTCGCCTTTCCATCGCGGGTACCGGATCATCGGGGTAGATCACGGGCACATCGGGTGACCTCGTGATGTAGGTCACGGTCCCAATCTCAGGTTCGTACACAGTTTCAGTGATCACGGGAATGTGGCCGATCCTTCCGTCCGGGTATTCAAAAACGACATCTGGAGGCCGGTTTCCGTAGGGGACGTTAGCGTACGGTGGATTACCGTAGAGCGGACTACCGTACGGTGGATTTCCGTAAAGTTGTCTGCCGTACGGTGAATTACAGTACATTGTATTAAGAGAGTGATTGACCGACGCATTGTCAGCGGGCGAGGACGCGTAAGACACGGATCCATTATGATGGCTGTGGGCCACGTCTGGCAGTCTGGACGTGAGGGGCAAGCTCACTGTTTGTTGACCATTAGACATGACACTAGCTCTTGTTTCTTGCACCGTGTCTGCGGTTGAAGACTGGGTGGCCGACGTATCGACTTGTTGGACTGTCTTGGCAGTCGAGGCGGTGTCTGTGTTATTTGCCGTGTTCTCAGCTTTAAATTGAAAATCAGTGATAGACATAGTTGTTACCAAAAGAAATAAAGAGAAAACAAACTATTTAGTGTTCTTAAATACAAAATAGTGAAAATTGAAACCTAGTTTGTTATCAGTCTAAATTTACATAGAATCGAATACAAATCCTTAATCTAATTTTTTTTTTTAAGCTGACTGTAATTTAGATGCATATGAAAATGTGCATCTATATATATTATTTTCATTTGATTTGATTTGTGCTGAAATATATTTTAATTATGTCAAATTTACGCAACTGTTGTGTGAAACTAAAAAATGTTATTTTATTTTCATATATGCATTGAGATCTGCTTGAACGCCTTTATTTGTGTTTATTTCTAATTAATTACACTTTCTAAATTTCTTACTAAGACATTTTTAAGTGCTTAAATTTGGATCTTACCCGGCCTTGCTCCTAGGAACAGACCATCCGCTGTGTTGTAACAGCGCCTGTTAAATACGTGAATACATTTATTTTTAAATTATTAAATTATTGCGTATTTCGTCTTTAAAAAGAATATAGCAATTATGTTAGAAAAGTTTGCCCGTATTTTTTTTTATATTAAATTTTAAATAAATGATAACTAACAAAAATGAACTCAATAAAAATAAGAAATAACAATTATCAACTCACTTTGAAAGCTTGAGCTGAAAGTGTTTAATTTTACCTGAAAATAAGAGGATACTGTGATGTAGCGATCGCATAACAAAAAATAAAACAATTCAATCATTATCACAGATATTACAAACCATAAAATATTGAAAGCGGCTTCAAGACATGGGGCGATAGCTGTCTATGTCTCCTTCTGAGAACAAAGTAAAATAACACGTCAACATATTTCTTGGGGAAGTTTTACGTTTTCGTTGTTCTTTTCTTTCTTTCTTTATTCATCTCCTTTCAAAGATCAGCATTAATAACAAGCATATATATATATATAAGTAATGATTAAACGATCTATTTTCTAGAAGACATATGGACAAGGAAGACTTTCCCCAAATATAATGCTTGCAATGCTTCATCAAGAGTTACCTCGCTTTAAGAAAATAACTATAGCCGCAATCACTACAATCAGACCAGCAACTGTGCCAATGATGATCACAACAAGCGTCGTAATGGAACTCTCTGGCGTGGCCACTGAGCTTGCGCCTGAAAGAAGAAGTAATTGTATTTTAGCAATAGTTTTACTTTTTAAAATTACCGTTTAAAAAATTATTTTCTAAAAAAAAAAAAATCGATATTTACAATTCATGGGATACGTATATATATTAATATGTTAATATTGAAACAAATGTGTTTTTTTCAGTTGGTCTCATTACCACATGCGCTGGGAAAAGACATAGGAACCTAGGCTTACATTCTTAATTTTTAACTGATATAAAATCATATTTTATACGCATAACTTTACACTTATGAAATGTAAAATACACCAATCAATTGAAAAAATGCAGTAAAGAAACGTCCGTAGTCACTTACCTACTTGGGCAGTTTTTTTTGGCTCAGGTGTTCCTTTTGGAGACAAAGACATTTTTAATGTGTTTTTATTTTTAAAAAAAACAACAAAAAACAACAACAAGAAACAAAAACAAAAATGAAATTAAAAAGAAATTTTAAAATACCGTATTGATCGGCGTATAACACGCACTTTTTCTCCCTGAAAATAAGGGGCAAATGATTTGTTCGGGATATACGTCGATATAATGTTAAGTTTTTTTCCCTGAAATTTCCTTCTTAAAATGAGGTGTGTATTTTACGCATTTGCGTATTTTACGCCGATAAATTCAGTATTTAAAATGAAATCAAAACATTTTTTTTGGAATATAATGTAGTTATACAAATCAACAAAATAATATTGATCAATTAAGTTAGCTCATGTCAATGTTCCCCTATGTTTTCCCTTAAAATATTTGAGAATTTTTTATAAGAAACTTCTGTAGCAACGTAACATCGCATTGTTTCATATTACGACCGAGGTCGTGTTGACGAACGAAAGATTTTATCAGTCTGAACACCTACCTTTTGGAACAACGATAATACTATAGTTGAGATAGTTGTCCTTATAGTTGTACCCAGTCCCTATCCGTATGGCCTTTGTTCCCATTTCGCCAAGAGAAGAAACATTTATCGTTAGGTTGATAAGTTGGACGAATCTTGACACCAGATTCAAGTAACTGAAACAGATGCCATCATGACACTTTCCAAGGAAGATCCAGGTGTCGTTAACGTAAATACCCGTCACATTGGGGCTGTGGGGTTTGGTGATGCATATTTGGAAGGCAAATGGTAGCGGCTCGTCCTCATGGATCTCAACCTGTTTGTCGTGTTTGCATATCTGAGGAGGACCTAGATAGAGAGAAAACAATTATTTTGCCAGTGAATATTGAAAAGAATTTCAACAATTATGGTTAGTTCAAACAATAACTATTAGAATCGATTTTAGTTTTCGTTTGGTTGTCACAATGTCAATATTAAAAGATTGAAAGAACTTTATAGGACAACATCTTCTGAAGATGTGCACACAACTGAGTGGAAGATTTGTTTAATTACCGAAATCGCTGAAAACTGGAAAACGTGGAATGAATATCAATATACACATACAAGACCAATGTGGGGAAACTAAGGCAAGACAAAGGGAGTAAACCCAAAGTTTCAATCTGGAGTTGGAATCCCGTAGTCGATCCGACGCTGATACCAATGTCATTCGATAACTGCTGAGACGCCACTAGAGCCAAGTTGTATTGACAGTTGTCATTCTCTTCAATCCCTTGGCCGGTCCATGGTGTGAGGAATCTAGTGCACAAGGCTACAGCTGGTCTCTATAAGACACGGCACAGGGGACGATGCTTACGGGGAGAGGGGCTCTTTTTATAAAGTAATGTGAATAGAAGGAAGATACCACCTGGCTTCGCAAGATTATGCGAGAAACGAAGCCCTTGCAACACAAGGAAGGTTACGGAAGGTCACATTTACCTAGAAGTCAAAGTTCTCCAGCGAGAAGTGCAGCCAGGAAGTCCATTCAAGGAATAACCTCTTAAGCCATTTGATAAAGTGTCAATAGCTACCCATCGTCTCGTGAAGTGGTAATGATGCTATATACATATATGTTAAAATATGATACTGGGCCATAACAGGGAGGAGTTAGCTAATGTGTCTAACTTTAAATCATATTTTTAAAATGTACCCTACATAAATATTTTATATCAAATATTTAATACTTATAATGTAATAATTACCTGTAAATATCGTTTTAAGGCTAAGAGTGTAGTCAGTCATATGGCACAAACACATATACACACGCGCACGCAGAAAGTAAATTATTTCTAAAATGTATGTGGCAAATATTATAATAAATTATCTAAACATTCCTATCTTTCAAAACTATTCCGTATTGGGCGAAAGATATAGCATTTTTTTGAAAATGGAATCTCAATGTTACAATCAAGCAATGCATTAATGCATTAAACAGATTAATGAAATCTCTTTAAAAAATAGATGTTTACATGAAACAAGGACAGCCCTTGCACTAATATTTTTTTTAAAATTAAACACATTTTACCAGTTTTCGCAGAATACGACTAGCATTGTTCTCCACACATGTTATTATTTTAGTAGCTATTAAAGATTTAAGATGATACTCACATCCATTCACTGAGACGTCCAGCTTCTGAGTGGTCATCTTTGACAGGGTCTTACTATCGGCCACGCATGAGTATGTGCCAGTGTCCGTACACTGCATTCTTGCGAAGGTGTAATTGACCAAGGTACTGTCTTCTATTTTACTCAAAATTTCCCCATCTTCTCGTTGTATGGACAATGCAATGGACGAGCCGAGACTGGTCTCCGTGCAGGTTAGCGTTGGTCCCTGGAGACCTCTAGCGCTTGCGAAATATCTTGTTTTATCCTCTGGGTAGAATCTGGCATTTTCTGTTATGCCTTTTGGATATATAACAATGATGATTTGAGTGATATGATTATCTAAAATAGCTTTATGGAGATTGTTTATTTATATTTTATTTATTGTTTCATTAGTTATATAGCCGATAGCACACTATGGATGATTTTTTTATGTACAAAGTTTTATTAAATACATTTTTCCATAACGAATTAAAAAAAAAACACTATTTAATTTAAAATATTTGACATTTTATCTAATTTTTCGAGAAATAATTATATTCTTAAAAAAAAATTCGATTCAATCATACTTTGTCTCGGATGTACTCTATGATGTCTTTTTAAAATTGACATACAAATAAGCTTTTTTAAACATGTTGATCAATGGAAACATTTAATATCTTACATTCTACAACAATATCTATAGCGACTTCAGAGAATCCCTGCATGTTGCCGGTCTTGCACATGTATTGTCCGGCGTGCGAGCATTCAGCGTGGGAGATTTTAAATTCAACATGGACTCGCATCTCGCTAGAAGTTAAAATCTTTCGTCTGTTCTCCAATCCGTTATGGGAGATTGCAGCATAAGTACCATTGGATCCTGAGACTGAACAGCTAAATTCAACTGTATCATTTGGATAGATTGTCAGACGTTCCATTTTCGGTACAACTTTAATCACTGTCGGGCTTAGCCTGGTCGTTGCTTTTGTTATTTTTAACTTAAAGTCTTCAATTTTAGCTTTTGCTGAAAAGTAAAATAAAACAATCTAATCATTACGTATACATACATTGACTATTTTTTATATATTGGTTTTTAACAACACCAAACATAAAGTTTACTTTTACTTAATGATTGGACTATTGGCGATTTCATAGTAATTAAATCATAGCAATTTTGTTTAAATTTATGTAAGATTATATATTTACAGTTTCAGTTAAAAGTGGGAAAATGATCTAGGAAAAAACTTACTGTATTATTTTGATACAAGCATGTTGAGACAAAAATAATTTTATACATATTTATTATTACAAGATTGTCATGCTGATGTTATGACAAGAAACGAAGTTAAAGCAGTAAACAACATGCGTATATACTGTTTAAGGAACGTACTGTCTCTCACAAGTGTTTTATTTTGAGATCACCATAGAAGACATCTGTCACTATTAAAGCAATAGCAAGAGAAGGACGGTATGAACGATTATTCAATCATTTGGTGCATAAGATCAAATTCATCAATGAAAATCAGACAGCCTGTGTTATTTCTCTGGGATCCTTAGCCATTTCAATATGAGAGACTATACAGATTCTCTGGGAACATGTGTCATTTCTTCAGCACCCTGTATCACTTCAAAAGCATCACGTGTCACTTCTCTGGCAGCCTGTGTCAATTTTTGATTGGTAGAGTCATTTCTTCGGCAGCCTGTGTCACATCTTTGAGAGCCTCTGCCAATTCTTCGGCAGCTAGTGTCAAATCTTTGAGAGCCTATGCCAATTCTTCGGCAGCCAGTGTCACATTTTGAGAGCCTCTGCCAATTCTTCGGCAGCCTGTGTCACATCTATGAGAGCATTTGCCAATTCTTCGGCAGCCAGTGTCACATCTTTGAGAGCCTTTGCGAATTCTTCGGAAGCCAGTGTCACATTTTTTAGAGCCTCTGCCAATTCTTCGGTAGCCAGTGTCACATCTTACAGATCCTCTGCCAATTCATCGGCAGCCTGTGTCACATCTTTGAGAGCCTGCTTCACTTCGTCAAGAAACGGTGTATTTTTTTGGGGAGCCTGTGCCGTTTTTCGGTAGCCTGTGTCACCTCTTTGGCAGCCTTTGCCACTTCTTAAAGAGCCCGTTTCACTTCTTTAGCATCATGAGTCACTTCTTCGGAAGCTTTTTTCACTTTTTGATCACATGAATAACTTCTTTGGCAGCCTGGGTCACTTCTTTGAGAACCGTTAGCCACTTCTTCGGCAGTCGGTGTCACTTCTTTGACAGCCTGTGTCACTTTTTCAAGAACATGTGTCAAGTCTTTGGGAGACTGTGCCATTTCTTCGGCAGCCTGTGTTATTTCTTTGAGAGCCTTTGCCACTTTTTCAACAGCCTGTGTCACTTCTTCGGTGGCCTGTGTCACTTCTTCGAGAGACTTATCACTTCTTCGGCAGCCTGTGCCACTTCTTTGAAAGCACTTGTCATGGTTTCGGCAGCCTGTCTCACTTCTAAGAGAGCCTGTGCCACTTCTTCAGCAGCCTCTGTCACTTCTTCGAGAGTCTATTTCACTTATTCGGCAGCCTGTGTCACTGCTTCGAGAGCCTTTATCACTTCTTCGGTAGCCTCTGCCACTTCTTCGGCAGTCTGTGCCACTTCTTCGAGAGCCTGTGTCACTTTTTTTGGAAATTAGGTCCACTTCTTCTGTAGCCTGAGTCCCTCCTTTGGCAGCTTGCACCACTTCTTCCATTACCATGCTATAAGTGTCAGATAACTTAATATTGTTTTTTTAACTTTCATGATCGAGTAACATTCGAGAGTGTAGTTCCTTTTTTTAGCATAGTGGTTTCAGATGGATGGGACTCGTTAATCTTGGATGGAAACTCTTTTCAGAAAAAAAATAAACATATACAATCAAACACGGAGATGGAGATCGTAGGCGGTATAACATTGACCCACAACTCCTGAAACAAAGAATGCATACAGAGCACAGTGAAACACACATCAACACACTGACGGTCATCGACTGCATCCTGGTCTATTTCTAGTCTTCTTGATTTAGTCTTGCCATGGGATTAAAAAAAGGCATGAACGAGAGTTTGAGGGCTACCGACAGAGCTCAATTTAAAATAATACAGATTCATAAAAGGCTACTATTCATTTCGAAGCATTCGAAGTACGAAAAAAAAAGCAAAAATAAGTTTTGGTAACCAATGTCTGACGGGTGATTGGTTGATAGAGGGGTGACTGGTCATGCATGTCTGACGGGTAATTGGTTTGTAAAGGGTTGTCTGAAATAACGATTATAATTGTATGTTCAATTACATCAGATAGTGTGATTGGGTTTAAGAGCAATGAGCCACGAAGAACATTTGGAATTGATAAGGGGTCCCCATTCTGAAAAACAAAAGAAATTATGATGAAGAGTTTTGTTAAATCTATTTTTTTAGAAGTGGATATTTTTTATGCTTTTGACAAATGTCCTGTGAAGCTAACCAATATAGAAACCAAAATTATCAACTATTACACGTCATCTTTTTAGAGGTTACACAGCGAGACATGTTTAAAGGTGTAAAAAATAAATAAAAAAACACTAACAACATTGGTGAAACCGGCAGAATAGATAATGGAAAGTAAGCAACTCTACTGAACAATTTAGCCAATGTTGACAATAATACAAACAAATATGTGTGTCTATTGACAATGCAGCATTATGTTTAATTTAAATATATTTTTAAACTACTCAACTTTTTTTTCTTCCATTCAACAATACCTAGCATTGTACATAATGGGAAATAGAATGTTGGTACTGATTGTGTGCTTTGAAAATACAACACTATGTCTATGCATGTAAGCTGAAGTATTTTTTGAGCATTGTTGCAATACAAATCAACACTATATTGTATTGGCTAATACGGTGAGGCTATCATACAAAAATTTGGAACATTTTATGAAAGAATAGTTTTAGTCATTTTCTTAAGATCAAAATCGAATGAAAACAGACATACACTTAAAAAAGCCGAGCAATCGCAAAGAGGACTCTTAGAAAGATCAATTTCAATAGACTGATCGTGACGACACTGCATTGCTAATGTTTAAATCTCTTATTCAATTTAGATAACAGAGACGTAACGTGCTGCAATTCAAAGCTGAGCTTCCGTATGATGACGAAAAGGAACAGTCGAAGTTTTAAATGATAAATGTTAAAAGTCAGCACACCTCCTAGCTTCTTACACGATACACTAGGAAATCATGCAATATCGGAGAGAGGGAATTCAAAATCATGCAACAGCCTACAAGAGAAACAGCATGTAACGGACTTTATTGAAGCTCGCAAATCTCAACGTATTCAAGAGAGACCATTATCTGGTAACACCTCCCGCAAAGCTCAAGTCGATACCTCTATAGTACCATGCCGATAAAAGAGGTGCTGCCACCATAACTCTAGCGCTTCCCGAGGAAAATCATACCATTGCTTGAACCTGCGTTAACAGACAAAAGTAATGCCTGCATGATATGTGTCTAGAAGGATAACCGTTTCGGTTTTACTACCAGCTGTGGATGAATTTCCATTTGAAATAACGGTAGAAAAAAATTAAGGGATAAAGATACCTCTGATGTATATGAGGCATGAGGTGGATAAAGGCAATCTCATGACAATGATTCGATATAAACATATATTGAATAGGCTGTGCCTAGGCAACCGTTTCGTTCCAGCTACTACTTGAATATTTTGCGGAGTAGTAGCCAACTGTAGAAAACCCTAATAGAGAGCCTAAGACCTCGCCGTGATGGGCAGGGGGCACTATTCGGATGTAAAAAAGACCATCTCGACCAATGGGGAAGGTCGACTGATGGGCTCGGAAGATCAACCTCACCTGCAAACCGAATATCCTTAGGTTAAGATGACCCGTAAAGAGAATCAGTCAAGTGATGTTACAATTAGAGGCCTTTATTAGCAGAAGATCTCCAACATGCCGCTGCGTGGCCTGATAGGTTAATCTTCAAGCCTGTTGGGAATGCCTTGGTTCGGGCACTAAGAGCTTTATGATCTACTGCACGCTGAATTGATTTCCTAAAGTACGTCTGGCGACCCCAACCATGCAAGTGTGTAGATACAAATAATCAGAATTGTAACTCTGATAAAACATTTGATTAACAAATTTCCTTTAATGGCAACTGGAAGCATGTCACCGAAGTTCACTTTTCATAATGTACTGTAGTTTGATGGCGAAGTTTATGAATGTTTTGCTTAAAAAAGAAAGATTCAACTGCCTTATATTTATGGACTGCCAGAGCCATTTAGGGTAATATAAACGACTAATATTAATGTGGGATTTCAAAGTGAAATACGGGGATGGCTCCGTTCACGTTGAAGCAATAAGAACTATGCGAAGGCTAGAGGGGAACTTGAAGAAGTACACTATGTTAAGTTTCCTGTTAGTGCCATAGGCAAATTGTTTGGTTACATTTGTCACCTCCAAAGTTGCATATGTCTATGATTTCCTATTGCCTGCATATGTATACAACAAGCTATAATTTTTCTTTCACTGTCCTTAACTGTTTTGGCTGTCTAAGTCTTTTGGGGGAAGGAGTGGGGGGGGGGGGGGGCTGAAACGTTCACGTTCTGTTATTGTCCTTTTTAACGATTTCTTCTACAATTTGTATAAAAATAATGAAATCTTTAAGCCTGATCTACAAATAATATAACTAAAGGTTTCTCAAATTATGACATTCACATATGGGTACCAATACCTTATTTAAAAAAGTAGTATGCTTAGTTCGATCATTCTAAGTCGTGTGTATCGCAAGATTGCTATCGTTTTGAAAACTAAGTTCCATGCCGTCACAAAAACATTCGTGACCTTGATGCTTTTGTAAAAATAAATGACCTCAAAAGAAATTATCATATTTGTTGAATGATTATAGATTTTATTCAATGTAAGTCTCCTAAAAACAATTACAGCAGAGCAGAGGTATCACAATAATCATTTTCATTCATAATAAGAGTAAACAAATCTAAGTCTCCGAGCATTTAGGTCATGTTGAGATCAACATTTAAAGGCAGCGCAATTCAATCATCAAAAAAAAAAAAAATTAAACAACTTTTAAGAATCTTGACAAATTGATTATCTCTGAAGATTATATACAAAACGGGATTGGAAACTCAGATGTATTAGTTCAATGCGGAAAGCGCACTTTCGCATTTGCTGGTCCAACAATTTGGAACGCCCTTCCACTCGATCTCAGAAACATCCAGACACTGGAGTCCTTTAAAACCGATTTAAAGACACATTTATTTCGCAAACACTTACTGGGATGATTGTCTACCATATTTTCCATTTAATGCATATTGGCTGTGTTGCTCACGGTTGAAATGGGTTGAAAGACTTTGACATTGTATGCTTGTAATTAGTTTTTGCAGTGTTGCGTTTGTTTTAAATGTGGTAAATTATAGATTTGTTTTTTTTGTTGACTTTGTACCGCGCTTCGAGCCTTTGGGGATGAAGCGTGTTTTTGAAATGAACTTTATTATTATTTATTATTATTATTTTAAGGCGGGCATGTCTTCTTTTAAAGATTGTATTTGACACTTTTAAGATACGAAATAGTGAATACATTGTGAGTGGAATCAAAATGGGACGTGGAAAATTCCACCATCGCAAGAAACACCAGCAAAGTTTTCAAGCTACACACATTTTAATGTAAATTGTCTGTGATACAGATATAAAGATGTGTTTGTTTAAAGACATGATTTATCATTAACATGCGCAATATTATAGTACAGTATTTAAAAAAAATATTTTTAAGTATGCTATCTTATAAACAAACGTATGCAGAAATAGCAAATTCAGTGCTGGTGGCTAATTGAAAAACAAAATTGCTTTACACAAACGTGTTTATATAATTTGAAATGTATCATTGACTCGAGGAAGTCGCGTAAAAGATGTTGCCAATGTGTATACTTATAAGATTAATGACAACCTACTTACCCTCCACATTATGGAAAACTGTAAACATTGTAAGGATCGCTACGCAAGTAGCAGACGTCACATTCTTAAAATGCATTGCGGAGCGTTTGCTTTTCATGATGGATTGTTATAGCACTTCTTTTCTGTCACCAAAGAATCATGGGAAATAATTTCATCATGGGCACAATCGAATTCGATACGATATGACAAACTTAATATTTAAGGAAAGTTAAATTTTTTATATTAAGTTAAAACATTTGAAGCGAAGCACTCTTAATTACTGCATCAGTATTTTCACCTAAAAAAACAATGCATTCTATTGAATAGTTCAAGGATATTGACTACAACATCTTTCGTCTAAACACCAATACGAGCCTAGTACCAGCAACGGGTAGAATAAAGAGACTGATTATTTTGCGTTATAATTAACCTTAGTACCGTTGAAACACTCATCCCAAGGGAAGAGATAGCGGAAATACACTTCAAGCACTTTAGGGCCATGAGTAATAATTCTCAAACGGACAAGAACACGTGTTATACTTTATGTTCTATACTTTTACTATAATAAAACATTTTTTAAACATTTAAAAAATGATTTTTTAAAAAAAATATGTTTTTCCTTAAAATCTGTCATTCTGTCATTGTGCCAGAAGAGGTTTTTTATGTTTGTACAAATCCTTTTAAAAGAAAAAATTGCATTAGTTTAAAAGCTCTACAACTATCATCACAATGAACATCCTACGAAAAAGTGAACCCCAAGCTCTATACCTGATATATTTGACGTCACCCGTATGCCTTCATCTATTTACAACAGCATGTGACACACATTACTTTTCGAAGCTTGTGGTGAAGTATAGCGGATTCAATTAAACCAGTAAAACTTGTATTGAGCACCTATACATTTGACCCCTTGTTTAACTTTGAATTGGGCGATTCGAACAATTTTAACATAAAGCCAATTATTCGGATTTATTGATTATACTTACCTTTGTCTCACAATTTTAAATTTTAAAAAGAGGTATATTATATCTTTATTTTATATATTAGGATCTAATTTTCAATGAAAACGCACTAGTGTTAAATGTTTAAATAACATAACAAAATCTCAAATTTTGTCTTGTAGCAATTAGGGCAACCATAAAACTGCCAATAAGTTGGTGACATTTTTAAAGATATATATATATATACAAATAAACATGTTTATGTTTTATACACCTTTTGTTTAGCAATAAACTTCGACGTTTAACAGTGCTAATCTTCCTAACAGAGATATATATTTGGGTGAAAATATGTATGCACCATATTTTTTTTTTAAGGAAGATTGTTAATAAAATTATGTTGTTTTTCAGAGTATTTGATCTTTAAGATCATACATTTCAAGTTTCAGAAATTTAAAACAGGTCAACATAATAAACAAACTTCCAATATTGTTTCGATAACTCAAACGAATTAGTCATTTTTATCTTTCGTGACCTTTACAAAGCAATGAAAAATAAAAAATAAAAAATGATTCAAGCAAACAAACAAAAACAATTAACGCCAAAACGAAATGAGTCATAGAGTCAAATATCTTACGCATAGATCTTAAGAAATCCACAATATTAATGTCTTGTATTTTGGACTCCTGACTCAATTATTTTAGCTAAATAAATTAGTCATTTTACTACACTTCAGAATTTAAAAAAAAAAATATATCCTAATCAATTAAGCGTGTGATATAATATATCACAGGCAAAATAATGTACACCCCTTAAAGATTCGTAGCAATTTAGCGTCTACTTATTTTGATGAAAATATAGCCTGTAATAGTCTTTAAAAAAAGGCTGTGGAACTTAATATTTGCTGATACACTGTGTGCGATATCTTGGTACGCTGCATTGAATAACTTGATTCTTGATTGTCTGTATGGCTATCAAAAATTCACATTTAATCATACCTTAGGCCAAGGCCCTTCATGGGCTGTAGCGCAGCCAATGATGATTATAATTTAGAACTTTGAAGTTTTCTAAATGTAATCTTGTTGTTAAGGTGGATTTACTTTTAGAATGTGTAGACTAAAGAGAAAAAATATTCCTTTATTACATTGGCAAAACTTAAATAAACATCAGAAATAAAGTCAAAACAAACAATTCAGAATATATCTTGATGGTTTTCATGTGAACAAACACAAAGATCAAATATTTAAACAAATGATTTAAGCAAATCAAATATATTTATATTGTTTTATTTTGTTCCGGTATCAATTCAGAAATGAGTTTTCCAAGTAGAGACACTATGATTGAAACTGTGATTGTGGAAACAAAGAAAGCGATTGACAAAATAATCCGCGTTGCTAGTTCTTTGCTTTAAGTTTCTGTACCTTTGTTTTGGCTACTGATTTGTTAACATCTTATAACAATTGATTTGTTGTGATAAAGTTTTATACAAATTTGAGTGAAACAATTTTATTAGAAAGTAACGTGTACAATATTTATTTTAGGGTATTTAATACATGCTTTTATGAATGTATTAGTTTGTTTTTCGATTGTAATTGCCTTAACTCCGCTTTCGTTTTCTGTATATAATGGTTAATGTTTAGGTATACCTTTGTCTACTTTTGGAAAATGACCTTAAGAAATAGTTTATAAGTGAGAAAGGAGAATGACAGTTATAATAAAACAAAATAGAGATGTATTAATAGCATAGCCCCCAATTGGAAAAAAAAATAACAAACAACCGTATAATTCTTCCTATGGGAAATGGCAGGGTAAAATCTTTTGACATGTTCGAGATACCAGGTTATCCTTAAAATATGCCATATAAAGTATGATGCAATTGAACGGCTAGCAACGAGTAACTGTTGCATTTTTATTCCGGTCTTCGGACAGGATGAACTCTATTTCGGTTTCCTTTAGCGAAGCCGGTTGAATAATATATTCTTAGTGTTCACTTTTTATTGTGTTTCTATAACGTTTTTTTTTAAAAACTTAGGTCTCGTTAATTGAAAACCTCTTAGAAAATAAAATACTACCAAAGTAGCAGACCATCTCATTCTTGTCCTTCTTATTTTGTAACTATATTGCGCTAATTACATTCTCATCACTCTTAACTGTATCACATGGATCTTACTCGCGATCTCTATTTCTTATTCTTTATTTTAGTATAACACTTGTCTATCCCGTTTCTCCTATACTGTGCCTTTCTCTAACATTATATCTTACACACTATTTTTGTCGAATGTTATCTTTTATTTTCTCTGATCTCATTCACTCTCTTTGAATCTCTTTCTCTCACAGTCCTCTTTTTTTGACTCACACGATTCTCTCTCTCTCTCTCTCTCTACTTTTTTACTCACACGATAACTCTCTGTATATATTAAATTTTTTTTATTGTTTCTTAAGTAACATGCTGTCTTGCAATATTGATGTATCTCGATTCCAGAGACGACGTGTACATTTAATTGGCTTATATGCAAAGCTGATATGTGCATCAAACATGTCGAACATTTTCTGGAATTAACTTAAATTTTAAGCCTAAGAATGTCACGTTTTGGGCGCCATTCATTTTATTTTCGATCATTTTAAAGAACTATGTTAATATTTTTTTTTCTCAAAATTGGCTTTATTTTAAAAATAATACAATTTTTACATTTTTTTGAACAGCAAATCTTTTTTAAGGTTTTGTAAACCAACAAAGGGGGGTTAATGTTTAGTTGTTTATATATTTGTTTCTTCTTGTGTGAAGTGAAGCGACATGTGATCAAAAGGAAAACTCGAACTGAATGAAGTGTCACTCCTTCTTTGTACCTAAATGATGGCGATAGTCCCGTGGCAAGTGTGAGTATGTAATCATGGGCGCATACTCGGAGTACACCGGTGCTAGTGCTTTAAGCAAAACCTCAAAATTGTTATTATAAAAAAAAAAAAAAACATAATTCAATTATTTATTTATTTATTTATTTAGGCATTTTTACATAGCGCTTATCATAAAGCTCTAAGCGCTTTACAATTATCTTTTCTCTTTTTGATTATACTTTGTCATGTCTTTAGGAAATATGTTACGCTTAAAAAAATCAGATCACCTCTACGTGTCTTGAGATGTATTTCAACAGTATATCAACTGTTTGCTTATGCAACAAGTGCAGCAATTATATCATCTTATATACCACTTGTGACAAATTAAAGCAACTAAAATGCGAGCTTGAGTTTTCTCTTATGTAGACCGGATACTGCAATGTGTCATATAAGTTCTGGTCACACCATTTACTTTTGACCAGTTAGCTTTAGCAGTGATGTGAGAAAAGTTTTTAAAACCTTTTTTGACATTGTGCATAGATTTTAATTTTAAAGTACCACCCTATATGTGACGTCAACCAGGATGTCTCATTGGAGTTTTCCGGGATTATTCAAATGATTTCCTGTTTACACAACGCATTCCTTATTTAAATGTTGTTTTTTCCCCAGTGGATTTTTTGAAGAAAGGAATACACAAAAAACCCTCAAACAATCAGATTATGAAGGATGTTTTTTCAATTTTTTTGTTTTGGTCTTGAAAAATTTTGCGAAAAATTTAATTGGGTTGGAACTTGCTTTAACTTATAATCGAATATTTTATAATATAACCCCCCCCCCCCCTTTTTTTAACAAAAATGTATATTGTCACAGCTTGTGCTTTCGGCTAAGACCAAATCTTGGCATATGCTCTTATCTTGTTTTTTTAATTTTTTTGTTTTGGTTTTGAAAAATTTTTCGAAAAATTTAATTGGGGTGGAACTTGCTTTAATTTATAATACAAAATTTTATAATATAACCCCCCCCCCCCCTTTTTTTAACAAAAATGTATATTGTCACAGCTTGTGCTTTCGGCTAAGACCAAATCTTGGCATATGCTCTTATCTTGATGGTTTACCCTACCCGTGGGAGGAACGTGATACTTTACTTGGTTTTCAGCCTGGGTCAAGACGATCGGTAAAACAAACGAGAGAGCCACAAGCCTGAAAGCCCGTAAGGGCACACTTTGTAAAGGGTCTACCCCAATATTGCAGTACTTCTAGGGGAACCCTCAGTCATAAATGTAAAGCTTTTAATTTGTATTATCCTTAACATTACTCTAGTCATCATTAAAGCATTCAATATTGTAGCTTTCATCCGTAGCACGTATTTGAAATACGACACGCCATACCCTTTTCAACGGATATCTTGATACGCTCTAAGCATTTTCAAATGAAGCTTTATAGTAGTCTTTGACCTATTTCATTTAGGATGAGCCATAAAGGGTTAAAAAGTCGCTAATAATCTTATAGTTAGTAGTATGTTTATGTTTTCAGCGGCTCTCTGCGCATGCCCAGTATTCAACGTTGCAAGGATAGTGGTTATATGTATCGCTTCTGCTTCCAAAATTATTAAAAGAAAATATACTT